CACGTGATAGCAGATGTTGGTGACAGATACTCTTTAAGGTGATGCTGGGGGTCCAAAAGACCCCAAGTGTCACCTTTACACTAGAAATAAGGTATTGAAGTGCAGATCGCTTTACAACAGTCGGTTTTACAAGTTTAAACAGAGTCCCCTTGCCCGTAGGCCCCCACAACCACTGGGTCAGGGTTGTGGGGTAGAGGCCCTTGTCCTCATTGGCACGAAGACCAGTGCCCAGGGCATGAGACCTGGTGTCGGCGGGGGGGGGCACTCGCTCGTCCCTTCCTTTCCGGCCCTGCCAGGCCTATGCTCGGATCAAGGGTCTTAAGGGGGACCCCACATTCCCCCCCCATTTTTGGGGGTGGGGTTCCACCTTAAAATTCCTACCAGACTTTAAGGGCCTGGTGTGACTTTAAGGGGGAACCCCACACACTTTTTTTACACGGGGTCCCTCCTAAATATTCCTACCCGACCTTAAGGGTCTGGTATGACTTTTAGGGGGAACCCTACACTTTCTAAAAAAAGAGTTTGGTCCCTCCTAACATTCCTACCAGACCTAAAGGGTCTGGTATTGTTTTATTGTTTGAGAAGGGAAACTGCACGCTTCCATAGTAAAAAAAAAAAAAAAAAATTTAAATGTCACTTTTTGCTGCAGCTGGTTCTATACATCGTACACATCCGCCACTTCACAGGCAGTTTATGGGGACCCTCCAGGCACGATATTTGAAGGAATTTTTCATTTTTATTCTTACCCTTTAAGTCATGTAAAAATCACTGTTCCTTTAACCCCTTGCTGTCCACCCATTGTAAAATTATGGGCGGACGGCGGATCCTTCCCGGCGAGGTCACATAAATGTATGTCAGTTTTTTTTCTGCTCGCGCGTGCCCTCGAGCAGAATCCCGCTGGGAATCTGTACAGCCGTTACACATACAAGCGATCGGCGGTAACGCCGCCCCCCCTCCTGCACCCTCACCTTCAATCCCGGGGTCCGCTGCCCCATCTGCGGCCCGGGACCGCCTCAGGAGGGTGCCAGGATGGGATGGAGATCAGCATCTTCCTCCTTGCTGAACTCCCTCCGACGTCTGAATGCAGAAGTGATGTGTATTACATCACTTCCGCATTCACCTGTCAGTCCTCTCGCTGCTATAGCCAGAGAGAAGAAGCTGATGAAGCAGATCTCTGCCTCATCAGCTTCTTTGGTCCTTTGGGGGACATATAAGTCACATATAAATAAATGTAAAAAAAAACATTTTTAAGTCCCCCACCCCCACGTATACGCATATATAAACGTAAGTACGCCCACGCGTGAAAGTGGCAATTGTGATACACATGTTACATATCGCCGCGAACATCTGAGTGAGAGCAATAATTTTCGGGCCATCGATCACTGATAACACCACATTGAGGAACGGTAAAAGCTTGTAAAGCGTCGCCTATAGCCAAGTTTTTTGAGGTTTCACGGGCGCACACAATTTTAAGGCTTGGCATGTTTGGTGTCTATTTACCCAACGTGATCCCGTCTTTTATATTTACCAAAAATGTTGGTATTATTAAATGTTTCATAATTTAATATAGGGGAAACAGGGTTTTTTGTCAAAATTTACGGTAATTTTTCCTTAATATAGTAAAAAATAAAAGAAAGCTCTATCTGTCCCCAAAAAATGGTTTAAAATTAATGTCAGCGCTAAATACTGAAAGTGGTCATCAAGTGGTTAAAAACTTCTTTTTTTTTTTTTCCTGTCCGCTAGGGCAATAACCGAAAACCTGAAACCCCATACCCCTTTTAGGGCCAATAACTTGCATATAAGCCCTCTTAAATGGGACAATCGTTTCCGAAAGTTCGACCCCTTATTGACTTGCATTGAGTTTGAGTTCGAATTCAAACTTTTCGGCCTTTCGAACACCATCCTAACACGGGGGTGTTCGGCCCATCACTACTGGTTAGATGCCAACAAATGTAGAGACCAGGGCTGTAGCTCCCATGGGGTGAGCCGCGCCCCCTCGCCCCTCTTGCCACGGCGAGCACAGGGCGTAAACTTTTCGGCCTTTCGAACACCATCCTAACACGGGGGTGTTCGGCCCATCACTACTGGTTAGATGCCAACAAATGTAGAGACCAGGGCTGTAGCTCCCATGGGGTGAGCCGCGCCCCCTCGCCCCTCTTGCCACGGCGAGCACAGGGCGCCATAGGCAACAGGGGCGACAGGCGGCCAACACAGCGGCTCGGCAGTGAGAATAAGAGCGGCAGATGCTCCAGCTTCTCCTCCGATCCCCGCTGCTTTCCCCCGCTGTATGGGCAGAGGACTCTGTGTCCTCAATCTCTTTTTCAAAAGGGAAATGTCAGGGGTCTGTTTAGATCCCTAATATTTCCCCAAAGCCCCCCAACAGTAAAAAAAAAAAAAAA